TCTGCCGCTCATTGTCACAGCTAGAAGTTTTTTTGAAAAACGTTGTCTAATTTGTTTTATATGATTAGGACATGTCATATTCGTGGCCATTGAAGAACTTTCTTGCTTGGTTCAACGTGTTGACAGCTTTTTACACGATCTGCTCTGCGTAGCCAATGCTTTGATTAGTTACTTTACTCGAATTAGATCGAACGGTTTGAAACTTTCTGCTCAAAAGTGGTAACTGAATCAGAATATTTAACGGGTGAGTCACGGCTGCCACGTGTTCGTCGACTACCTTCTCGATTTGTTACAAATACTACGCTGATACCAAAAGTATAGCAAACTTGCGCCGAATTATATAGAAAACAGTATCAAACTGTGATTGATCAAGCACTCAAGACACTAAACAATCGGTTCAAGCAATCCATTTTTCCTTTGCTATGTCAAGTTCAAGAGTTTTTAATCGCGGTCGCAAATGGATCTTGTACTACTATCGTAATTTTAAAAGAAGACCGGTGGAAAAAAGCTTATAACTTTCGAACAAAAAGTCCAAGCGACCTGCGGTTTTCACCATTCGAAAGAGCAAAGCGGGGTACATGAACCTATGTAAAAGTCGATCTCTTAAACAGGGCATATGTTTGTCACTTTTTAACAATTTGTCGAAAGTAGCTAAAATAAGCTTCAAATTTCAAAACTTCCAATCTCCTTTTTCTCATAAGGAATCCTTTTCTTTTAAACAAGATAACTTCAACATTTTATCTTGTTGAGTTCCAGTGATACAGAGGCACCGTCTACTGTATATCTGATGTTGGAATCAGTTATATTCCGAGGTTAAATATCAAAGATGGATATATTCACTGCAATTTTGTGCCCAATTTGAAAATCCAGGTAACAGATACTTTTATGAATTGACCCATCGATTTTTACATAGGTTCACGTGCCCCACTTTGCTCTTTCAAATGGTGAAAACCGCAGGTTGTTTTGGCTTTTCGTTGAAAAATTATAAGATTTTTTTCCACCGGCCTTCTTTTAAAATTCCGATAGTAGTACGATTGATAGGCTGTGCGTCGAAATACAAGCATTTACAAGCGACGATATCGACTGCAAGAGATTGAAACAGTAATATGCAATTGTTTCTGATTTCTTTCGAACAGTTATTCATGACATAGAGATGGGAATTAAAAAAATAACGAAAATATCGACGATCATTGGTATACTGAACGCACAGCCGATTGGAAAAACAATGTTTCATCAATTCAATCGACTTCTACGGCTTTATCTGACGGTGCCAGTGTCCACAACCATTGCAGAACGATCTGTCTTGGTGATGAACCAACCGAACACATGCTTGCAATCGACGATGACACGAACTCGTTTAAATAGTGTTTTTTTGACACATGTAGAAAGAAAAGAAAGATTCTATTGACTTGAAAAGACTTTGTTCAACGTTTGCATCAAAGAACGAGCAGAGAAAACTATTTTTTGGTTTTTTCTAATCATTTTAGTTTTATGTTGACCGTTTTGATTTCTACTGAAGTTTATTAAAAAGAAGATTTATATTCTGCTTGATGCTTTGATAAATTTCGACGGCAGACAAAAAATCCTATGAGCTTCACTTGGGTTAATGACGCTTCGCCGTCTCTGCTGAATAATGACCAATCTAGAGAACATAATCTTACCCTACAAATTTATTTTCATAGGATATCCATGTTATGCCTGATTGAATATCACTAGAATTTAGAAGAAAAACTGTATGACTAAAATTTATTTTTATCAAGTTTTTCTTGAACGCTAACCTAATCAAAATTGTTCATAATAGAATTCTACAAGAAATAGAATTTTGTTTTTAAATTCTATTGACTTTTTAAAATAAACTCTTCATAAGAATTTATTTCGTTTCGTGTGTATAAAACACTAGTATTCGCAGTTGAAGTTTCTATTCTTCCTAGGTACTTGAAAAGAGACAGAAAAATGAAAAAACTTTCATGTTTCATGATGAAATGGATATATTTTTTATGTATTTTTAAGCTCGTTAATGAAAATCAGAATTTTTATTCATGAAAATGATCAAAAATGCATGAAACAGACGTCAAGAGCATGAAAAAAAAGTAAATTCGTTTCCCTTGATAAAATTATCGAGTCAGATGGATAGTTCTATCCGCCTGATGTTAGATAATTTCACCCAGACTTTTTCAAAACTCTGGGCTGATTGCTCTTCGACGAGCTTTATGTTGAACTTTTCTAAAGCTTCTTTAGTCTACCGTCCCAATAAGTGATATATATATATAAATAGAATATTTAAAGTACTTAACAACTTCAGAAAGAGTAGGGGCACGACATGTTTTCTGTCTTTACATATTCGGTTTGTTAAAGAATGATTTGTATATAAGGACTAAGATTTTGAAGAAAAATCGTGACATATGATGTATTTCATTTGAAATGTATCGATTAAAACTAAATTTCAGAGAAAAATGGATATAAATTTTCACTTGTTTTGAAAATGATTGAAATCAATTGTTTTCGAATGTAACAGTGATCCAAGTCATTCGCTTATTTTCTCTTGCAGAGGTTAGACATGTCTGCTCTTATTTCTTCCTTTTTCGTTTTATTATATTTTTTTTCTCATCTCTCAAGAATCAAAGACTAAGGCTTTCTGATTCATTAAGAAAATGTCCTCGCTAAATCGTCAGTTCAACAATACTGTCGAACAGCAGGAATAAGTGCACAATGCGGTGAAAAACTCAGGTGCTTATGTGTCGATGAATAATATTGCAATGTTTTCACACAATGGGATGCCTCATGAACAGCAACTTGTCTATTATACTACTCCAACAAATTGTCCACCCACCGATAACCTACAACCTGGTGCATGCCAACAACAACTGTTGAACAATCAAATGGTTCACCAATCATCGTTATTAAATTCACTTCGGTCGAATAGAACTATTGGTTATGCTCTTTCATTAGGAGTAGATACTACCGTCCAAATGTATGAAGGTGATACAACAAGTGACCATACGCCTCTTTTTTTCTTGTACGTTGGCATATGGAGGAAGAGAGTATGCAAGAGTGTAGAACGATTTTGACGATCTTCTCCCTTTTTCTTAGATACACATTTGAGTTGTAGGAATACCAATTGAGCTATGGTTGTTATGATGATACGTATTAGCACTTTATTACGTTTTTATCATTATTCGCAGCTCGATGCGCATCTTATTTCTAAATCAGAGAGGCTCACCCTGCACTTCCACTGGAACTTCGGCTACTTTTGGCGCAGAGTCTTACTCTATCTTTTAAAGAAAAATGAAAACGAGACGTTGGCTTACACTGATAGGCTAGTCGTTCGCACAATTTAACCCGATATCAACTAAAAAGATTTAAACAAGATCAGTTGGCCAAACAATTGCAATGGCGTTATGTTCCTGGTCAAAGTTCAACTTTATTTTGGAGTAAAGCAAAAAGGCATTTTAGAACAAACTCTTCTTCGTTGATGGCGGACATAGCTGCAGACCACTACAAAATGTCTGTTTATCGCTCCAGGAGTATTTAGACCGTACTCGTAGGTTGATGCTACGGCTTTGCATTGGCACAACGCTCATAATCAAACTCCGAAAGTAACTTATCCACAGGTACTAAAAGTGTTATCAAACAGAAAGAAAAAAACGTTCGTACGACATATATGGGCTTTCTCCATTTCTGCTGAAGCAGATACCTCGACATTATTGGAACATACTGGTTCTTTTCTACAATTACTCACTTGATAACTACTTTTTACCGAAGAAATATAAATAAGTACGAATGGTTCTGTTAACAAAGAAGGAGGTCGTATGTCCGTCTGATCAAACTAGATCTATTTCGCTTCTCGATTCTTTTCTCAAAATAGAAGAAAGACTTTTCCTTGATCGTTTTCTTCAAGTGTTAAATGACAGAGGCATTCTTCCAGATAATCAATCAGGTTTTCGAACACGCCATCGTTTACAGACTCGTGTGGTACTTCTGATCGAACAAATCTCCTCCTATATGTCAAATAGTGTACTGGTGGCAACAGTTTTTGTTGATTTTAAATCCGCGTTTGATCAATTTTGATTCGAAGGTTGCCTTGGTAAGCTGATCCGATTAGACATTACACTGACATATGTAAACTGGATTCAAGCGTGATTGGGACATCGTCAAGATGCAATAGAAATTCAAGGTAAAAGATCAAGGTAATTTTCTATACAACGAAGTGGTCCACAAGATTTTTGCTTCGCACCACCTCTTTTTATCAGTTATCATAGTGATATGGCAGACTTCCTTTCCAAGGCTATGTCGTTCTTCTTCGCTGATAATCTCGCTGCTATCGTTGCTGGGCAAATTGGCGTTATATTTACGGATCAATACTTGGACTTGAAACATCGACTAAATACCTTGCTGGAGCATCTGGAATTTTATTCAATATTGGCGCGGTACAACCCATTAACTACTTCAAAACGCAGACAATGTTTTCTGCTCGCGCCATCAACTACCCGAATCCAATACCGGTACTTAAATGTGAAAACTTTACTATTGAATGAATTTCATCGTTTAAATATCTCGGTTACTGGCTAGCCAACAAGTTAGGGTGAGGAAACATGATCGGACGAACTCGTCTTCGAAGTCATCAGCAAACAGCTTGAGTCAATTCAATACGGTTTAGTGGTACTACTTCAACAGCATTACGACGTACGTTGTTCTATACGTTTGTTCTTCTTATTTTCACTTAGTTATTCATCCCGAATGATTATTAAGTGCTCACAGAACTAGATGGCATGAAAGCGATTCAAGCGTCCATTGTCTACGAAAGTCAAACGTTTTGGGAACCATATGGATGTATCCACAATGACCACAAGACGGATGACATGACATGGCATGGAGAACTCACGTAAGTGTAGAAGGATAGGACATTTTAGATGTCAGTGTAGCCAGAGTAACGAAACATGCAACATTTGTGGTTATAGTTGTCCTGATCTTCAACAACACCAATGTTCAAATATAAATAAATGTATTCACTGCGACGGAAACCATCAATCAAACTCAATGAAGAACTTAATGGTATGGCTAAACTAAATGAATTATTAGAAAGATTAGCTAGCAAACAGTATGAATTAAAAGAACAATTTATCAATGTCAAAAATAATCAGAATGAGAATGTACGGTACAATATTGGACAATTGACTGTAAGCAACCATGAAGCCAAAGAAACAATACTTAACAGCACAAAATTAATAAGAGATTTAATTCTACCAACGTTAGAACTTATTTCAAAATATTTATATCATTCAAATATGAATGCAAATGGTGTTGATGATGCAGACTTTAAACATCAAATTGAAACAAAACGAACATTAGTCGATTTAATTTTAACAAGTAAAAAAGTCTTTATATGACACTTTCTTCAAATGCTAGCCTTTTTTTCCTCTTGTTCATCTCAACAAATACTATGCAAATGCGAATCTTTTCTTTGTAAAGCCCATTCTAGTCTCTCTAATTTTGATTTTTCTCTTCTCTATAATATTCTATGCAAATGGGAAAGCTCTATTTTATTTTCCAAATAACTTGAACATTGGAAGCTTGATAAACACAAGGACGCTTCTTCAATCAAAGAATCTCTTTAAATTCTTTCATTCAATATACGATGGTTTAAATGGCGTCATCAGGATGTGCTTCTTCTCTGCAACTCTTTTAAATTCGACATATTCATTCTATTAGAAACACGTTCTTTTGATTCCCCTTTTGCGGACAAGTTTTCTCGAATTATAAAATATATCATCAGAAGAAAGAAAATTCAAACGGTGGTGTAGTAGTGATGATTCGTGGTAAATTGAAATATAAAAGAATCGACTTCAATCTTTCAAATATTTGTGTCGTTGACATCATGGAAGGAATGGACGAGACACCACTAAGGCTTATTGGTGTCTGTGCCCCAGAAAATAGGTCTTGACCATGGCGAGATCTATCTGCATGCTTATCTTCAAAATGTGCATTGTTCAGTGACTTCAATATAGATTTAGATCAAGATATGGCAAAAGCAGCAGCATTACTAGATTGGCCGGACTCTCATTTTCTCCCTTCCTTTATTCCAGAAGGTTCAACCTCTATGGGATCAAATCGAGTAATCGATTATGTTTTCACTTCTTGTTTCCCGGTTTTGATTCAAACGTACGAAAATAATACAACTAATAACCATAAACCAGTGATAGTACACATTCCATTTAAATCAAATGAAATTTCAATTGCTCGTAATATACACTGGAAAGTTTTCCATCTGTTTTCCAAATATGTATGTCCATCTTGAGAAAAGAGATGGAACCTAAACTACTTAAATGATCTCTACAACGATTACACCTCATTTATATGCCTTCTCATATCAAGGTGCACAGTATTATTTCCAATTGATAGATATAGAATTGCTATCTCAAAGGAATTAAGATCGTACATGTCGCTAACTCGTGCTCTCTTATGTAAACAAAAAAGAACAGTTGATATGGTCTTGAAAAATATTGTGAATCTGGGAAGACAAGCCGCAAGGAAGGGATTTAAATGGTTCTTATTAAATTACGTCTCTCTTGCAGTGACTGAATGAAATAGTTCTTCACCACGATCAATTGCATTCTGGTCTAGTGCTAAAAAATGTATGAAATCAGCATCTTCTTCATTACACAGATTCCTACTCAACGATGAGACGGTCGTTAAAGGTAGTGTAAGAATGTGTGAGGAAACTGCTAAACGTTATGAAGAATTCTTTCGTGAATCAACGATTTTCCGACCACATCCATATACGAATAGACCAAACATTCAATGAGATAACTTCGACGAAGAAATGTCAATGTGTACAACTTAAGAAGTCGTCGATGTCATTAATTCTCGTAGAAAAAAGAAATCAATAGATGCACATGGTCTATCCAACTTTATTTTCAATTATCTGCCTCCGAGTTATTTGTCCCTTCTGGTGGAAGTACTTAATTATTCATTTACGAAAGGAGTGATGCCGGATAGATGAAAAGATAGCAGAATGTTACTCCAGCAAAAAAAGTACCCTGTACGCGATCGAAGATCAACTCGTTCAATGTCTTTACTTGATGTCTTTCTTCAAGTCAATGAAAAACTGTTTCAAACGAGATTTATGAACGTGGTGAAAAGAATGGGTCTTCTTCCACATAACTAAAGTGGTTTCTGACCAAAATTCAGGTTACAGGCCAGTGTTTTTGTTTTTCCAACAAATTTCAAGTCAAATGGCAAATAGTTCACCAGTAGGAATAATCTTCGTAGATTTTAGAAGTGCTTTCGACCAGTTATGGTTTCTTGGGTGTATCGAAAACTTGAAAAGAATGAAAATTCCTAGAAAGTACTTGTTTTGGATAGAAAATTAGTTGATAAACAGGAGGACATTTATTGAAATAAAAAGCAAACACTCTAAGTGGTTTTATATACGCAAAGGAGGATCTCAAAGATCAATATTTACACCGCTATTATTTATTATTTATCATTATGATCTAACAGAATCACTTGGTTACCGCTTAAGTCACTTGTTTTCAGATGATCTTGCAGTAGTAATGGCTGGAGGTATGAGGGGCTAAAATATTCGTCGCAATGTTTGGAACTGGAGGGAAAACTTTCTAGATTTCTTGAGGACTTGGAGTTCTACTATGCACTAACAGCTCAACCAATTAATGACAACAAAACACATGCACTGTTTTCCACCAAAGCGATCGGATATCCGAACTTGACATTGAAATGTGGCAATAACGAAATCAAATGGGTTAAAGCAATAAAGTGCTTAGAAAATGTATTTACTGCCAAACTAGAATTTGGCACCATGATTCAGAAACAAAACTTAAAGTTCATAAAAGAGTCGCAATGATCAACTCATTTCGTTTGAAGGGTTCCACATCACCAGTTCTGAGAAAGGCTCTTTTCAACTCCTACGTCATGCCTGTCTTCGCATGAGTACCAACAACAAGAATTGAATGAATTCTATGCTCGATGCTTGTGGAGAATTACACTTTGCATGCATTGGAATTTATCTTTTTTATGTACGCTATAGATGAACTGACACTCGAAGACCGCTGTAAAGGATATTGGAAGCGACACTTGTTGGCGTTATCCTATACAACCGATGGTGTTCCTTGCTTTTTGAACTGATCAAGTTCAAATTAATAAGAGAAAATTGGTTGCACGGAGAGAGCAGGCTGTGGGTGTGGGGTGTGGGTGCAGGGTGTGGGTGTGAGTGTGGGTGTGGGTGTGGGTGTGGGTGTGTGTGTGTGGATGGGTGTGGATGGGTGTGGGTGTGGGTGTGGGGTGTGGGGTGTGGGCGTGAGTGTGGAGGTGGTTCCTCTTCCTACTCACACGCACATACCTACACCCACATTCACCCACATCCACCTTCACCCACACCCACCCT